TGTGTGTCTTTCCCTGTCGTCTGCTGCTCCCACTTGCAGCCCTTGCTGCACTGTCCCGCTGTCTCTGGGGGCTCAGCTTTGGGTGCCTTTGGCTTCTCCTGGTGTGCCAATCCCTCTGGTCCCAGATGCCAGCACTCTTTGGCCTCATCAGGGCTTTTACTCCTCCCTTCCCTGCTTTTTGCCTTCCTTTTCCCCTCTGTGGGCACAAATTCCACCGCCTGTTTTGACCACCACCACCACAGCTCCCATAGAACCACCTCCAGCTCTACACCTGCTTAAACCTACTTCTAAGGGACAGGCAGGACCAGAGGAGAACATCCAAGTTACCAGCTTGTCTCATTTTATTTTGTTTTTGTTTTTGCTATAGGGCACGTGCGCTCGCCAGAAAGTGAGACATAGAGACAGAAAGCGAGAAATCACTCCCCAGGGGGGATGGCCATGCTACAGTCCCTTCTCCTCCATTCTCCTCTCGGGATCTTGGGCACACACACATGCCCAGCGTGAGTTTAAGCCACTGGGTCCGGGACTCGAACTGTGGTCGACTACATGGGAGTCTAGCAATGTAGCCATTACACCATCTGCTGGCTCCCCAACCTGTCTCATTTTAAATGAATGAGTATTGGGCCAGCCAGTATCCTGGTGGTTAAGGCAGCTGGGTCCCACATGACCAACTGCAGGGTTTGAGTCTTGGACCTGGCAGCTTGGAAAACGTGCTGGGCACGAGTACTTCTGTGACTAAAATCCTGAGAAGAGGGAGAAACAGGAGTAGGGATTGTGGTGTGACCATCCCCCGTAGAGGGGGTGTGTTCTCATTTTCTCTCTCTTTCTCTGTCTCTCTAGCAAGTGCATACATCTTCTAGCAAAATTAAAGGTGATGACAATTGACTCTTTGGGCCCTTAGGCTACCCATTTTTCATACCCCTCAACGAAGCTTTACATCAACTTCCACTGGGAGCACCTCCTCCCCATCTTGTCAGCGGAGGGCCTTTCTCCTATTTAACCTGAAAACAGGAACTTTCAGAAGAGACCCTCTGCCTGCATCTGTCAGCCCACCCTCTGCTGCCCCTCCTGCCTGATGTAATGGCCGTGCTACCTGCTCCCCTGCCACCCAATTGACCCTCCTCCTGCTTAGGGGCATCCCTCTCCACCTGATCCCCCCTTTTTTCTTTAAGAGAGAATTTTGCTATACGTACGTGTATTTGCCAGAGAGACAGAGATAGAAAGCAAGAGGTCACCCTCCGCCCCCAAGGAAATGGCCATGCTGCAATCCCTTCTTCTCCATTCTCCTCTCAGGATTTTGGGCATGCACACACACTCACCCAGTATGAGATTAAGCCGCTGAGTCCGGGACTTGAACTGCAGTTGTCCATGTGGGAGTTCAATGACATAAGCATTACTACATCTGCTGGTCCCAGTCTTTCTTTTTCTCCTCATTTTGCCAGAGGGTACATACAACTGATAAGAGAGAGAGAGAGAGAAAGTAAGGAAGCACCCCCCACAGGGCATGGTCACACTGCCATCCCTTCTCCATCTTTACTCTTTCTGAGATTCTGAACAGCACACACACACACACACACACACACACACACACACACACACAGCATCTTTCTTTTTTTAAAGAGAGATTTTTACTACAGGGTACATGTGCTTGCTGGAGAAACAGAGAGAGACAGAAGGCGAGAAACACCTCTCCCCCAGGGGGGGTGGCCATCCCACAGTCTCCTCTCCTCCATTTTCCTCTCAGGGTTTTAGGCATGCACACACATGCACCCAGCGAGTTTTAAGCCCCTGGGTCTGGAACTCAAACTGCAGTCAACTATGTGGGCGTCCAGTGACATAACCATTACGCCATCTGCTGGTCCCACCCAGCGTGTTTCTTAAGCCACTGGGAATGAGAATTGAACTGTACAGGTGACCATGTGGGATCCAGCTGCCTTCACAAGCACTCCATGGCTGGCCCTTCTTTAATTGTTTCTAACAGCTCTTTGCAGGTCTCCTTCCTAAACATGTCAGCATGCAGTTAGGGTTGCAAGAAGGGCATTTAGTCCAGGCATGTGAGTCTCAGTAGGGTATGTCATGGCATCAGTTTCATCTTGAAACAGGAACCTGGGTTGCCCAGAAACTGACCCTCCTCCTCCTGCCCAGCCCTTCCCAGAGCTAATGAGATCCCTGTGTATCACCACCTAAACAACGATGTGTAAAAACTGACAGTAATTAAAAACCCAAGCTGATGATAAAGGCCATTTCTTGCTGTCCTGACCTGACCCAGTCTTGCCCTACACTTTAAATCTCATCCGTATGCCATGCCTTGTATTCAGATGAACTTTTCCTTTCCCAGGACATGGGCAAATTTTGCCTCACATATGAGGCCTCCATGACGCGGCTCTTCCGGGAGGGGAGGACAGAGACCGTGCGCTCCTGTACCACAGAGTCCTGCAACTTCGTACTGGCCATGGTGGACCCCGCCCAGACGGTAATGAGAACGCAGTGCACTTTTCAGGCTTTAGCTAGCGGACAGGGGAATCCGGAGGCTGACACTCCGGCTTCTCTAACTTCATCACACATATACCTTCTTCTCAGCTTCTTTTTTTTCCCTGCTCCTTTCAAGGGAACACAAAGTATTCAAAGATAACCGTAGGGCCAGTTGCAAAGAGACAATGCTATATACTACTATGCTTCCAAAATCTGATCATACTTCCTAAAAATCTCTAAAATTAGAGTAGTACACAGGTGAGTAAAGGAATAGCAGGGAGATGCAGCAGACAGTACAGGTCATTGGTGTTAGGATGACAAAGTGGTGACTGCTGCACAGAACCTTGTTTTAATAACTTAGGGCCAATAAAACCCATTACCATGCCAAGCCTGCATGCCAGGCGCAGGGTTCAGGGTTTTCTGAACACCGCCTACCTAGTGGTGGCCCTGTGAACTGTTGTCAGCTCATTTTCATGAAGAACCAGACTTGGACGAATGCAGCAAACTGCTAGGCCATAGGGCTTGTAAAGGGCCTGTGGCCAGTCTGTGCCCAGGTGTGCTTTCTGCTGACCAACCTTATCTTTTCTGTTGAAAATTTCATTCAGAAAGGCTTCCATTTCTGTGGAAATATGTCAGTTAATGTCATGTCAGATAGCTCTACTCAATGCCTTCATAATAAGCATGAGGACCAAGTCTTACGATAGAGATATTAAATCCTGGGCAGACTCCCACTTAACAGGGAGTTGCATTGCCCTAATTCTGCAATTTCCGTAGCAGATCCCAAAAGAACCTACAATACGCTTTCTGAGTGAGATTTAAAGGCCCCTAGTTCTGTTTTGGCATAATTACTAGCCAGACCACTTTGGAGGGTTATTTACAGCTCATGGTAACTCTGTGGTGAACTGAGAGGGGCAGAACTTCATCTTCAGACAGTGGAAATTTGGAACTCAAGCCTTCCTGCCTAGTGATGTCATTTGCCTGAAGGTGGAATGAGCCAGGGCAGGAAGATTGTACAGGGGACTCTGCAAGGGTTTCTCCAACTACCCCAACTTCCACTTGGGAGCCTCGAGGCCACCCTGTCTGGAATATAAATCTAGGGAGGGGCAGTCAGTTGAGGGACTTCTGGAAGCACTGCCTGACAGCTGCCCACCCTGGCACACCTCACCAGGAGACCCCCGGTTGCCTGCACCGTCAGACCACTGGGTAGAAAGGCCTGTTACCTTTCGTTTTGCAACTTCAGTCCCCACTGCACAGCTTGCAATGACCAATGCCATGTCCTTCCCATCCTTTGTCACTTAGGTGGAACAAAGACTCAAGTTATTCAAGATGGCATCCGAGAAGCACCAGCTTCTGTACCGCCTTGCCATGACTGGCTCTGGGATCGATCGCCACTTGTTCTGCCTTTACGTGGTGTCTAAATATCTCGCCGTCGATTCTCCTTTCCTTAAGGAGGTAAATCCTGTCTTCTCATGAAGGCTCACTCAGCTGATGTTGACAAGCCAAAACTTAGAAAATTAGTCCAGCCTTGCAAGTTGGAACAGTGTTAAAAGTTAAGGGGGGGAGTTAGCTGTGGATGCAGCTGTCATAACAGTGAAAAATTTGAGCTGTATTGGTACTGCATTTCTCAGTTCCTTGGAATACTTCGCTGTCTTATTTATCTCCTGACCAAAGAAACATAAGTAACCTCAACAGCTGAAATAATATTAGGTTGTCAGGAAAGTCATGACGCATTTTTCTATGTGAAAAATGCGTCATGACTTTCTTTTCGTTTTTTGGAGAGGTTTTCGCTAAAGGGCGCATGCACTCACCAGAAAGACAGAGAGAGACAGAGAGTCAGAAAGTGAGAAATCACCCCCTCGGGAGAATGGCTACACCACAATCCCTTCTCCTCCATTCTCCTCTCAGGATCTTGGGCATGCACACACATGCACCCCGCGGGAATTTAAGCCACTGGGTCTGGGACCCGAACGACTACATGGGAGTCCAGCGACATAGCCATTACGCTAACTGCTGGTCCCTGTCATGATTTTCTTGATAACCGAATAGTAAAACTTGCTAGAATAATTAGGAAATGATGAGCTTTGACTAATTATCATCTTTGTTTTTAGTGTATTTTATTATAAGTTTATAACATTTTATCTTTTTTTTTTAAAGGGAGATTTCTTTGCTGTAGGGCTTGTGCACTCACCAGAGAGACAAAAAGCAAGAAATCCTCCCCAGGGGAGGGGGGAAATGGCCACACTGCAATCCCTTCTCCTCCATTCTCCTCTCAGGATTTTGGGTACATATGCACACGTGCCCAGCATGAGTTTTAAGCTGCCAGATCCAAGACTAGGAACCACAGTTGGCCATGTGGGAGCCCAGCGCCCTTAACCACCACGCCACCTGCCATTCCTAAAATTTAATATTTTTTTTAGAATTTATTATTATTTTTTCTACAAATGAGAAAGACGAGACAATATCCTCTAGTGTCTTGATGCTGCAGTCTACCCCCTGCTTCAGCCAGTTCCACATCATGGGCACATGTGTGACCAGTGTGCTCCGAGAGGTCTCTGAATGTGAACCTGGAACCTTCTCACGTGGGTCAGCCTTGCAGATCATCGTGTTTTACATCTATGCCACTGTCCAACCCCTAAAACTGTCATTTGATTATTTCCTTCTTTTACTCAACAGGTTTTGTCTGAGCCTTGGAGATTATCAACCAGCCAAACCCCTCAACAACAGGTGGAGCTGTTTAACTTGGACAAGAACCCAGAATATGTGTCCAGTGGAGGGGGCTTTGGACCGGTAAGTGCAACAGATGTCAGTAGAGGTAAACAGGGTGGTGGCATGCCCAGCCCGCATCAGCCTCAAACCCATCTCAGCTCTGACTCAGACCCAATTATCTTGTTGACATACAAGGGAAGGGGGGGTGGGGGGCAAACAGGTGGTGTAGTGGTTGGCTGGACTCCCATATAGTTGACCGCAGTTCACGTCCTGGATCCGGTGGCTTGAAAATCATGCCAGGCATGTGTGTGTGCATGCCCACAATCCCAAGAGGAAAATGGAAGCAAAGGGATTGAGATATGGCCATCCCTCCCTGGGAGGTGATTTCTCACTTTCTGTCTCTCTCTCTCTCTGGTGAGCGCACATACCGTATAGCAAAAATCTCTTAAGAAAAAAAATGAAGCCTTGGGCCAGTAGGTGACATGGGGTTAAGGCAGCTGACTCCCACATGGCTGACTGCGTGGTTAGAGCCCCAAACCCAGTGGCTTGAAAAACATGCATTCACATGGCATGCCCCAAATCCTGAGAGGAGAATGGAGAAGGGATTGTGGCATGCCCAGCCTTCCCCCGCCCCCAGGAGTGATTTCTCACTTGCCCTTTCTCTCTCTCTCTCTCTGTCTCTCTGTCTCTCTCCAGTAAGCACACAGACCCTATAGAAAACTAAAAAAGGAAAGAAGGAGGGGAGTTCTGGGGACTGCTTATACAGATATTAATAGCAGTCTTGTCTATAAGACAGTCCCTTTTTCACATCTGCTCATTTCCTGATGGTAACTTGAAATGTATTTTGTTATCTAGGTTGCTGATGATGGCTATGGTGTGTCATACATTCTTGTGGGAGAGGACCTCATCAATTTCCATATTTCTTCCAAGTTCTCTTGCCCTGAGACAGTAAGTCTAAAATCTCTTTGTCTAAAGATGGGATATTTTTACATTTTTTTTCTTTTTAAGGAAGCACAGCTTTAAATTGATAGGAAATTTCAGTTTAACTCTGCTTTTACTTGATTTGGGCATTTTTAAATAAATGGAATTTAAAGTTCTCTTAACCTAGTTTTAAGGAAATATATCTCTTTTGGTTTCACATGTTTATCTTTGCTGGTAGGGGTGGTTTTAAGTCTTAATGTTGGAGTGCTCCTATTAGCCTCAGACTCTATAGCAGTTGGAAGATGGACTAAGAAAAGCGTGTGCATGCTAAAAAATGTGTCCACACGACAGACCAGGGGACCCAAAGTGTCCTCTGTGGATGGAACAAAGAACCTCCTTCCTAGCATGGCCCATTTAGTTCTTGTATCCTCTTTCC